TACTAGGTTCAACCACAAAAAAACATTACTCAATTAGGTCTAGATGAGGTTGATGTATGCACCCTCAGCCCTACTACGCCCTAAGCCTTGAACCCTAAACCCTAATCGAACCCGAAAACCCCAAAGCCTATGAGGGCAAACTTCTCCTCAGTCTATGTGGTAGTTTCCCAAAATAGGGGGACGCCAACATGACCCAAAAAATCTATAGTTTTTATTGTGGGGACCGCCCCAAAGAAAGGTACCCCCCCCACCCCCCAATTTTGGGAAACCCTCAACCGTCTTAAACCTTAAACCCTAAACCCTGTATACCCCTATATGACCCCTATGAGCCCCTTTAAAGGATTGATCCCATAATTTTGGGAAACTACCATATACTTCCCTGAGGGGCTTGGCCTCGGGTTGGTCAGGGCCTGAGCCGCCAAAGATTAGGGTTTAGGATTTTAGGGGTTTAGGGATTTTAGGGGTTTAGGTTTTTAGGGGTTTTAGGGATTTTAGGGATTTTAGGGATTTTAGGGGTTTTGGGGGTTTAGGGTTTTGGGGGTGTAGGGGTTTAGGGTTTAGGGCTTAGGATTTACTGTAGGATTCACGGTCAAGGGTTTAGGGTGTACGCTTTAGGCTTTAGGGCTTAGGGTGGGGGCTTAGGGTTCAGGGTGTAGGGGTTTGGGAGAACGCTGGTGGACGCCTACAAGTATTCGTACATAATCTCATGTAATTATAACCCATTCTAAAACTTGTATACCCTCCGCCACTCCTCCTTGAGCGCCAGAAGGCTACCTTTCGAAGTCAGGGTGTGTGTAAGCTACCCTACGGTCCTAGTATGTGAACAGAAGATACTTTTGCGCTCAAGGTACTAACCCTTAAGTCTCTCTGGGTTGCAGGGTGGGGGATTTTGGGTTCATGTTTACAGGGGTTCGAGGAGCATTGATCTGACGGAGCGCTTTGGAGAAGGGAATGGGGCTGACCATGCGAAGATGAGTGTGGATTCTAGACATGCTTGAGGATGCTATTGGGCACTTTTTTCAGGGTTTCCATATGGTAGTTTCCCGTTTAGGGGTTTAAGGGTTTAGGGTTTGGGGGGACCCGGTATAGACCCCAAGTACTATAGTCATTATCATTGGGATTCCCAAAAAGGTACCCCTAATTTTGGGAAACGCCCAAAAGTCTTCTTCCTACACAGAGTCTCCATGGCTTGGGATGTTTTATGTACAGGGCTTCGGTACCCGCACTTCATGAGTATCTACCCCGGACGCTCGGGCTATACAAGGATCATAAGAGGACCATGGGACCCCCAAAAAGGCTTACTTTGGAAAGGGAGAGGAGTGTGAACGCAAGGCAGCTGGTAGCAACAGCCACTTAAAACGTCACTTCATGTTTTGTTGTTTTGCAAATCCTTTCAGTTCATGATTGTCATCGACAAATCCGCCATGGGCCATCTCATCCGCGGAAGTCCCGTCACGCGAAGTTGGGTTCAGGGCTGAGGGCCTGTTCTCGAGAAAAGGTGTGTTGTGTTCAGAGTGGTCTTGGTGACCCTGAATGCATATAGTAGCACGATGTACAGTGCTTCATTGCAAGCAGCGCGCGGGCAGTAATCGGATAGGTGTTAGGTTGTGTAAACCTAGACCCTCCTCCTACCCTCTATTAGGGCCTAAATACCCACGATTAGAGACCATATATCCCCAATTAGGGGTACAAGGAAGGTCCTGGAAGTTCTTGCATGAGAAGGAGGATCTCCAAGGTCACTGGTGTGAGGTACCAGCTCAGGAGCCCTAGGCCCTAAGCCCTAAATAGTGATAACAGTAATAGTAGTAATAATAGCAATAATAGTAATGATAGTAATAATAGTAATAATAGTAATGATAGTAATGATAGTAATGATAGTAATGATAGTAATAATAGTAATAATTGCCCTAAACCCTGATCCGCGTAGCACTTCTGAGGCGGTTTGCAAGGCGATTGCAGAATCCCATGGGGGACGCATCCGAGTCGAGCCTCTTCCCTCAGAAGATTCTCTTTGGGTTGAGGGTTTAGGGTTTAGGGCCTGGCGGATTGGGGGTTGGATATCAAAAGCAATGATGGGTTCCTGTTGAAGTCTTCTTTATGATGCCGCCCTTTTTTTGCGTGTGGCGCGCAATGGGGACCCACAACTGGAGAAAACACAGAACATGTAGCGAGCGAGGATTTTGTCTACATGTTCTCGGGCAAAAGGCGTATATGAGTGACTACACAAGCAACCAACTTCGCATCCCAGCTTGTATTGAGAGAGAGAGACACCCGTCGCTCGCTCACGGCCGAAGAACTGTAGATGCAGGCGATTGTCCACCCACCTTTGTTGCATCAGGCCTTGATTAGAACCACGCACGTTTCGGCGTTTTAGATTCGACCATGTTCGATGGAAAGGTGCAGGGTCTCCAGGCAGTGGGGTATTTTGCCAGGTCGCGGGTTATGCCTGTTTTGGGGTATGGCTTTCCTATACTCCTGCGACAAACATCTGGAACAGGATACTTCTTCGGGCCTTGGCCAAATACCATGTTTCAGGTTGCCGCCCGAACCTTCTTTTACGTCACATCGTAGGGGTCAGCTAAGGACGACGGAAATGGACCTCGGAATATAGTAGGAAGAACGGTCTGCATTCTGTGCTTTCTATGTTGCTCGAAAAGAAAGACGTCCCATCCCTGTGCCCAGAATCCAGGTCGCAAGTCGGGAAGGGAACCAGCTTTGTTGTGACCTTCCCGTGTGCTGGTGAAGTCTGTCTGGGAGCCCAGCTGTCGTGGTTGGGATAGCCCAGACCCCCTAAAGGATCCAAAAAATGGAACCCCCTAAAACTCCCCTAGTTTCCCCAATGTAGTAATGGGTTCATATTGGGAGGGTTCCACTTTTTGGATTCTGGGAGGCTGGCGATAGCTGAGATCAGCCAAGGCGAAAGTTGGTACAACCGCTGATTGCAAGGAGCCTTAAACAATAAGCATCCGAAGGCAGCGACCAGCCTGGAGACTCAGAGACCCAGGAGAATTCTAGGAAGTACAAGTGCAAGTTTTCCCAAGTTTGTTGTTGTGAATTACTTCCAGGGAGAATCGGGTCATCGACAGCGATCAGACGCGAAGCAAATTGGCTGGTAGAAACAAGTTAATTACGGCAACCGCACAATCTGCACACATCACACCAAGCCGCTAAAAACTTCAGCACGACATGCACGACATACCGAGCATGGTGAGGCACTGCCCCTGGCAAGGCCAGGGCCTGCCATGGTTCCAACCCTGCTCTGCAACATTGTTATCAATATTATTCATATTATATGTACTGGTACTATCATATTATTACTATAGTACTATTGTTACTATTACTACAGTATTGCTTCCAAAGGTTTCGTGGTCCTGCAATGGGTTGTGCTACTTGGAGGGTCAGGGGACCTTAGTAAGTAGGTTAAAAACTCCTATAACCCGTATAGTAACTCTAGGTATCCTAATTATTAACCTACTTACTAAGTCCCCATGACCCTCCAAGTAGCTATCGTAGGAGGAAATGATCCTTGGGAGCCATGTGAGCTGCGACCCCGGAACTCAGGCAGGATGCAGAGCAGGATGGGTCAGCTTTGCATTTCGCCTGCGTGACAAAGTGGGAGCCCAGATAGCTGCCAAGGATCCCCCTGCGGTGGGGTGTGATGAGTTGTGCTGGCCACATCTGCTGCAAATCAGGGTCCGAACCTCCTCTTTAGAAGGTCGCTCCTCCTCATCCTGTGAAGGAGGCAGCTTCCAACCACTGGCTTCCAGACTTGCACGGCTGCTGTTACAAAGCCAATGTCACCAATGCCCTCTGCACCTGAGCTATCTCTACGCGGCAGAGCGCCGGGGTGAAGAAGTCTCTGAGGGCCAGAAGCTGCATGACATGTCTGCTGTGATGTTGTTTGAGGAACATCCGCCAGCCTTTGTGTTCACACATTTCGTGTCTTTCTGTGCAGTCAAAGTGCACACTGAAAAATCGTGCAGCGGGGCAACGAAGCTTTTATCGTTAATCAAATAACTCTGTCGGCAATGCATTGCCTACCATGCAAGCAGCCAGAGCAACGGCCAAGCATGTCCAATTTTCAATTTCGTCGGTGGACAGCTGACCTTGAGACATCAGCATTCACAATGCCGAAGGGAACCACATGGCTGACAGTCGATGTAGTCTCAGTTCATTTTTGGCTGCACAGCTACAATGAAGGTTCCATTGACTCACTGACGCTTGCAATTCTTGCGTTCACGATTTGGAAGCCAACTGTGTCCGTATAGCCCATTTAAAAGGGTCTTAGGGAAACTCCTGACAAGCCGAAAGCCCTGCCAAAGCGTGCTGAGGTGGTAGTTTCCCAAAATGGGGGGACCCCGATAGAGATCCCAAAATACTCAAATCCTTATTGTTGGGACCCCCAAAACGGTACCATATTTTTCCCTAAACCCTGAACCACCCTAATCCCTAAACCTTATATAAGTTCTATGTACCCCTATATATCCACTGATAATCCGTTTAAAGGTACCCAAAATTTTGGGAAACTCCACAATGCTGGGAAACCTTCAGGTGAGTAGTACTTTTTGTGGGGATACTATATATTGCACCCAATATAAAGTAAGATTACAACCTCCTTTAGGGTATAGCATTTTGAATGAGGAATATACTCTCAACAGGTTCGACCCTAAACCCTAAATCCAAAACCCAAAACCCTAAACCCTAACCCTAAACCCTAAATCCTAAACCCTAAGCCTAAACCCTAAACCCTAAACGCTACTCAGGTGACCAGGTGGATGAGGTCATCACACCCAAGCTTGCAGAAGCCGCTGGGCTTGGAGGCCGGCTCTGCCAAGCTTTAGGTCAGGTAGGGTTATTTAGGGTTTAGGGTTTAGGATTTAGGGTTTAGAATTTAGGGTTGAGGGTTTAGGATTTAGGGTTTAGGGTGTAGGGGTTATCTGAGCTAGAGTCTCAACTCCTTAAAGGGTGGATATGTAGTAGACTATTTCAGGGTTTTGGGTTTAAGGTCTAAACTCCTTAAAGTGGGGGGTTGTATGAGGGAATAGATAGGCGAGAATGATACGGGTTATTAAGGAGGATGCTAGGAGTTGAGACTCTGGCTAATTTGGGGTTTGTTGAGATATTTATCTCAAAAAGGTGTGACAGGGGACTATACAGAGGTATTTATGGAGCTGTAGGGTGTCAATCATGGTTAGGGTTGACCATGATTTCGACAATCTACCATACAGGGGTCTGAAGCCTTTACAGGGGTCATACTACTGTAATTCCTAGGACTGTAGGGGCTTCAAGTGGTGTAGAATTTCATCCATCAACAGTGTAAGGATTATGCAAGAACACGGATGGGGTTTAGGCTTCAAGACTAGACTGCTGGTTCCTGGCTAGAGAGAAAGGAATGGGAAAGATAACGGAAACTAGTTGATTCTTTGGCACTCGCTACCCTAAACACTATAAACCCTAAACGTAGGATTGGAACAGCAAGTTAGAGGTGGAGGGATTCAGGGTGTGGGGAATAGGGAGCAGGCTTTCGGGATTCGGGCTTGAGGTTGAGGAATTAGGTTCTAGGGTTCAGGTTTTAGGGAGTGGTGTTTTAGGAGTCAGGGTTTAGGGCAGGGAGTTAAGGTTTAGCTTTGAGGGATTTGGTGTTCAGGCCTGGGGGCTGCCGATTGCCGAGAGGGGTTTCAAGATGATCTGAGTGGTATTTTTTTCGGCATACTTTGGTACCCAATATAGAGTAAGAATATATCCTCCTTTTGGGTATAGTATTTTATATACGGAATATAACCTTATTAAGTTCAACCACCAAAAAACGCTACTTATCTGTTCTTACCACAGTCCCTACGTCATGTGAGCCATAGTCCAAACTCCTAGCATCCCTCGTTAAAAGCCCCATAGTAGTCTCCTTTATACATTCCCTTATATACCCCGTTTAAGGAGTTTAGACCATGGCTCATATGCCTGAACATGTAATTTCCATCACCCCTTGAAATCTGGGTGGTATGAGAGGTGAAGGCAGCCGTGGGGAGGTGTTCAAATGTGGTTTAGGGTTTAGGGTTTAGGGTTTAGTTGTTATTTAGTCGCGGGGTTCGGTAGAATCCAAGCCCGGATTATGGATGTTTACAGTAGTTTCTCGCCTTACCACAATGTCTACTGTGTCATAAGACTGCCATTGCTCTGAGAAAATTTCAGGTGGGTTGTTTCTCCAGCACAGGCCTTACATAGTCATAGTCCCTTATATGCCTTCACGTATCTCCACATAAGCCTTATATGCGCCGTATGCAAGGTACCTACCTGAGAACTCCGCACTTGAAATCGTTCTTAAATTGCCGTCTGCCGCTGTTGTTTTCTAAGGGTTTGAGTGTTTCGTCTTAACTGGAGCGTGCCTAGTTTCAATCAAAAGCTTAGTTTTGTGGGTAGGGGGTTTTATGTGATTACAAGGGCTTATGGTTTCAGTCTACTGCATTAGGTCTGTATCTGATCTGGAGGTTACTTGTTTCAGGGCTTCTTGTCTTTAGGATGTCCTAAAGGGGGCTTGGTCCAAGCGGGGTAGGTAACCTAGTAGTCCCCATTATTCCACAATACTCCCTAAGCTTCCTTAAGGTTCCCCAAGGCTGCCTAGTACTCTCCCTCCTTGAACCACCCCCCTAAAGGATCCCGAAACCCTAAACCCTAAACCCTAAACCCTAAACCCTAAACCCTAAACCCTAAACCCTAATCCATAACGTGTGGAATCTACGTTTCAGCGTGCCAGTTGGATGGGGCTTTGTAGTCCAGCAAGCAAACTTGGGATCCTCCAGCAGGTAGCTCAAGCCTGGTAAGTCGGATTTAGGGAAAGCAAGGGTTTAGGGTTTAGGGTTTAGGGTTTAGGGGTACGTCGCAAGATTGTTGCTGGCTGGGCATTGGGTTCTTGAACGTGCCCACGTTCTAACTTTGCCTGGCCGAGTTGGATCATTCCCCAGTAACTGTCCTTAAAGGGGCCTTATTAAGGGGGTTCTTATAACTCCTATAACCCATTGTGGTAACAGTTACTGTAAGGGGGAATGACCCAAGTCCTCAGCTAGTCCTCAGCCTCTTTATCCAAAACAGGGGGCAAGCAGATCCATGCCGCGTGAATCAGCCACCAGCCTCTAGCCACCTCCGCCGGAGGCACCGCACCGGAAGCCACAAGGCCCCAGCCGCATGCCGGAGTTAGCGGAGAGAATTTTGAAGGAGTATAGGGGAAAAATTATTACCAATGTTATGGTTCCATATTCCTGTATAATTATAGTATATGGTACCTCAGATGGACCTCAAAACGATATTGGCAATTATGTAGGCCTCTGTAGTAGGCGAGTTTTCTGGGATTCATCTTAGAATGCATCTGTAAAGGGACTCTACTGGAAACCCCAAATAGGGAACCCCAAGAATATAGCAGGAATATAATGGAATATAAGGACCCTAGTAGGTATATTCCTATTATGTACCTACCATATTCTTGGGGTTCCCGGTTTGGGGTTCTCATTAAGGTCCCTTTAATCTAGAATCACGGTGAGGCGCTTTGCAGTCCTTTAGGTCCATCATACTACTTTGAATATAGCAGGAATATAATGGAATATAAGGACCCTGGTAGGTATATTCCTATTATGTACCTACTATATTCTTGGGGTTCCCGGTTTGGGGTTCCCATTGAGGTCCCTTTAATCTAGAATCACGGTGAGGCGTTTTGCAGTCCTTTAGGTCCATCATACTACTTGCATCTACCTGGACCCCAAAAGTGTGTTAAACAATGGCCTTTATGGCTGTTATTATGGGTTTAGGGCTATTATTTTGCATACTTTTGGGGTTAGGTACCCACCAGCATAGACTCCAATATCTTTCCTTTACATCCATATGCCTTGGGGAAGTTGCATTAAATCTTCTGAATTTGAGGTTGGGGGGCTTCATCAGGTGGTTGGAAGAGCGCTATCTGTCTCCCCAAAGCCTCTGTGACTGGACTATCGGTGGGGAGAAATGGCAGTTTTCAAATGGACCACAACATTTTGGTAATTATCCAGGCCATTGCATTTAGGCGCCTAAATTAGATAATTATCCATATCATGTTTCTAGATTCCTTTTTGTAATGAAATGGTAGCGGGTACCTCAAATAGAGCTCAAAATGATACTGGCCATTCTTCAGGCTTCTACAATACTTTCTGCACTCTGCAGCCAGCATTTTTAGGTTTGCCTCGCTTATCGGAATCCTATATGAGCTATAGTCTAAACTCCTTACAGGGGGTTATATAGGGGATTATATAGGGGACTATTCTAGGGGTTATTCAGGGGGATACTAGGAGTTTAGACTATAGCTCATATACTGGTTTGCGGAGTCTCCTTGGGTTCGTGCAGAACCCTTAATGCAGAACGGCTTCTTGGAGTCCACAGGACTGTTCTCCTCGCCATCAGCGAGGACACCGGGACAACTTCCTCTTGGATGGCAACCGCTAAAACTGTTAACATACGGAGGTTCATCAGAGTAGGGGAAACTCCACGGACCCCAGGTACATATGAACTATAATCTAAACTCGTTAAGGGGGTTATATAGGGTACTATTATAGGTAGGTAGGAGTTTAGACAATGGTACATATGTCCGGATCCATGTTAGGGATCCTTTATACTTTTTGGGGGTATAGGATTCCTTTCATTTATGTAAGGATCCTTTTTTCTTCCTAGGGTAATGTGGGCTAAGATGTGTGGATTGTAAGTTCTAAGGGTAGTGCCTAATTTTGAGAGCCGCCCACATTTCTCTTCGTGCTGCTTCTTCCTGGTCCCTTGATGAGCATTCTGATTGCTGCTGTTTCCTCCCATACCTGTTTCCAATTTTCCTTGTTTTCGCATTCTCCCAACAGACGCTGAGGCCTCAACCCTAAACCCTATCTACTCAAGCCTCTCAGCCCTCGACCCCGAACCCGAAAACCCTAGACTCGAAACTTGTACATCTCGAATCCCTGACCCTACCTGTAAACTCCAATTGCCTACATTTCAGCAAGAATCATTGACCCCTCAATCCGTAGGTATAATTACCCCACAAGAGCTGTAGGGAATCGGCGTTACCTAGACCCCAAAAGTATGTAGAATAATAGCCCGAAACCCAAAATAACAGCCATAAAGGCCATCATTTTACATATTTTTGGGG